CCAAGTCGTATGGTCGTACCTCTAAACGTAACTGACAAATCAGGAGCTGACAACTGTCAAAACAGTAGCAGCAGACAGGCGCAATAGACCGGGTAGGCCGCAAGGACATCCAGGGGCCGGATTATCAAAACATCGCTAAGTACACGTAGCGACTTACGTGTGGCGTAAGTGCTGATATGAAGAAGTAACACTAGCGGTGGTATTATCAAAACATTTGCGCGGGAAGCTACGTACAAAAAGCCGTACGTAGCTCTACGCCTGCTCGGATGTGTCGTAAGTGGAGTTCGGTAGACGTTTTGAGTGTGCCGAAGCAATATAAAACTATTGATTTACTTGCAACACGGTGAATTGTGATAGAATTTTGTCAATAATTCAACATGGGCATAATATGTGATCGTGCTAAACGATGCTTTTTGAGAAAAAAATTTCTCAAAGTTGAGTTCTGGCAGTGATCGAGGACGCACTATGAGCTTCGACAGAATGGCACTGTCGCCGTAGAGCGTGTCAATCTGGAAAAAGCAGGGCGAGTGTCGTAAGTTAGTTTTGCATTCTTCATCAATTCGCAATTTTCATCTCAGAGAAAAGAATATACTATTGTTAATGATCTCTTGAAATTTACTTTTCTTCCATTTTCCTAGTACGTTTTTATAGATGCCTTTATAGGTAGTGTGGTTATGATCCCACAACAAAATAGTAAATTCAATGAACTGTCCTATGCTAAGTCTTTAGTGGATGTTACGAGAAGGAAGAAGTGATATAGAATGATTAATAGTAGCGTGCGCAAGAATAGTATACCGGGATTTAGTTAGTTATATATCAAATATACCGTGTGCTTTAGTCAGTCGGTGATTTATATATCATACATTGCAAAAAAAGCGTGTTGCTCAATATTGATTTATCGTCAATTATACCGACTTAGTTGTTCATTTATGAACACTCACTACTACTGATAATTACAATTAGTTGAAACCTTCTGGTAAATACGCTACATCTTATAAATAAAACTGACGAAGGAGTTTTTAGCAACGTTGAAACAGATTTAAACGTTCTTTTGTATCAGATTTAACAGATAACTGTACAGATTTAAACGTCCTTTTGTTATTTGTATTTAAACGTTCTTTTGTGTTTTTGTTCTTTCAATATCGCTGAAAGACAACCACAAATCTTTGCTGTCCATTGCAGGGGTTCCATTATAAGCAGGCTGGCGGGTGGCGAACCAGTCGTCGTGTATTTTTTATCGCTGCCGCTAGATAATAACTAATAGTATTTTCCAAAATGGCTGAATTTTTCCCATTTATATACTAAAATCTCGAAACAAGCTCTTCTGTTGCTTAAACTTAAGAAAATACATTTAGGGACAGTACAACATTGCTTTAATTGAATGATGGTGCATCACCTGAGCCGCTTAGCGCAGTGCCAACTCGAGTACCACTGACACTGATGCTTATTAAATATGCAAGGGCAGCTCCCAGACAATTTTCGGTTAATTCACCGTATAAGTTTGCTCTTATCATAAATAAATAATTTGTCTATCATTAAAGCCATAATGAGTTTAAATCGCAGATTTTACTATCCAATCATATTTTTACATGAATGTATGGGGCGTTTATTAACCATCTATACCTGAACCGTCTATAATTGATAGAAAGTAATAGTAAAGGAACGTGAAATGATTAATTTAAAGTTAAGAATTCCGGATGCAATTTCTAGGCCAAATCATGGCCGCTTTTTTGTTTATCTTAGTGAAAAATGTATTCATATTTAACTAAAAAAATGAATGAAATGCGTTGTTACAAAGAACAGCGGATGAACCCACTGGCTAAATTCACTCCACCCAAATTCGATTGAAGTCAACAAATGGGCGCTCTGTGGCAAGCGTGAAGGAGTGACATAATTGAACTTTCTATTCGCAATTTTTATACGCTCAAAAATATTTAGTCAAAAATTTATGTCATGAGGATAACTTAAGGATTTAAAATTTTTCGGCACCGGCGAGGTTCATTTACAGTTGAGTAGAGGCTGCCTAAACATGGACATTAGAGAAGAGAGAAAGCTAAACTGAACTATTTTATTTAGCATAGGCAGGGTCGTAACTATTTTCATGAGTATAAAGGGTTTCAGTTATCTCTTATACACATCTCTCCTCAATACAAATATCGCTCCGAGTATGAACATCTTCAAAAACAGACTAGACGAAGCTATGCAGGAGCATATGTTCAGTCTTAAATTGCCTAGCAAATTACGGACCAGGCAATAAGTCCAGCAGCTATCTCAATCAATCGTCAGCTATGGAAAGATCGGGTTCCAAAGGCCGGATCCNAAATTCACAAATTATTTCGTATCAGATGCAGGAAAAGTTGCTTGGCAGTATCATATGCTCTAAATAAACAATAAGAATATCCTAGTGCTCTGAGTGCTAAGTTCGTTCACTTCTATTCTCTTTGTTTAATAAAAGAATGTATTATTACTGTTATTAGCTGAAATATTGAGTGCATCAGCTATCATAGACCAGTGGATGCTGATGTTTGTCCCATCACTGTGCTGTGGGTGAGAGGAATCCCAGATTGCAGGTACCGCCTCAACTGACGAGAGCAATGCGTCGACATCCTTCTCTCATGGCTGCTTCAAGGACACTGAACGCGCGTGTCCGCGTCGAAATATTTGTCTAGAGTAATGTCGATTTTCCACCGCGCGGCAACGCGTGTGTACGCTTGAGGCACCTTCAGCGCGTAAGCGTTTAGTGTGGCCACTCTGGTAGAAATACATACATATAATATCGCAGCGTGAGCGCGCGTACGCCTGCGTACACGCCAACGCTTTTAGTCTGGCCGTACCCTAAAGCTCAGCGCCGGCAAATGCTCACGCAGCGCTTCACGCTAACGCCCTTCTTCGACCGACGCTAAGTTAGCATGCAGGACCAGCTGGCTAACGTTCTTATGGTTATGGTCATAGTTTATTGAGCTATTTACTATAATATTGAACTGAACTCCTCCGAGAGGATAGCTGTGTGGCTCAGCAATATAGCAGACAAAATTGACATAGAATCAGGAACGTCTATTTTTGGGATACAAGTCCGAGCTTATTGGATGTCTAAGCATGTTGAAACGCAAGCTAACACATCCAACAAACTTCTTGGACTAATCAGACGCTCATACGAGTTCCTAGATGCAGAAGCGATGAAGCAGTTGTTTGTTGCTGTCGTGCGCCCGAATCTAGAGTTTGGAAACGTGTGGTCACCGAGATTTGAAAAGGACAGAAATTTATTAGAGAATGTTCAAAGACGTGCAACAAGGATAATTCCAGGCTTTAAGGGCAAGTCCTATGAAGAAAGATTGAAGATTATGAAGCTTCCAAGCCTCAGTTATCGACGTCTGCGTGGGGACCTCATTGAAGTATACAAGTATACTCATGGTCTATACAAGGTCCCCGAAGGATTACTAGAATTTGAAACAAGAACCAACACTAGGGGCCACGGCTATAAGCTAAAAAAATTTCGCTGCAACTTCTCCACGCGACAAAATTTCTTCTCGCTTCGAATAACCGACATGTGGAACAGTCTCCCCGATGTCATCGTTGGCGCTCCAAGTATGAACGCGTTCAAGATGAGACTAGATAAAGCTATGGAAAAATATATGTTCAAATTTGAAATGTCTAGCACCTTATCGAACTCGGTGGAAGTCTAGCAGCTACTTCAAACTATCGTCAGTCATGAAAAGATCCGGTCAATTGACACGATTTTAGATCTTCTGTGAACAAGGCACGAAAAGAAAAAGAATCGGCGACAGGCCACATCAGGCCTACACTTCAGCGCCGAGATCACTATGTTATGTTATGTTAATTAAGTTATGCCAGTTAATTTCTTTTCCTTTTGTGTTTGATTTGCAAGCAAATCTTGATATTCGTATCTAAGAGTTTTATGATCATTCACTAAAATAATATCTTCATGACTTTTTTGATTCAAAACTATGTGGAGTTTGACAAGCCAACAATTTTTCTAGCTACGTACACAAATTCCTTTCTTTCTCCGCTAATAGTTGAACTCCAACTCACAAGAACTCCAACTCACAAAATGGTCTAAATTCTAGGTAGCTCTCTAAAAAGTCCTCAAATTTTGAATGGCAAAAATGTAATTTTTTGCTTTGATTGCAAAAATTACAATCAAGGCGTTGTCATTGCTATTTAGACAACGTCTCACTCATTTCTCCATATGCTCCCTAGTCAGTCAACGCAGATGACGCTGACACAATACAACCTCCATTCATCCACGCGCACTGCGTACTGAGTCGACAGGAGCTAGGAATGGCAAATTCGAAGCCTCTGATTGGTCAGTTAGTTGGATGGTTTCGATAATACCATTTCAGATGAGTCTTGCGTAAGACAGTTTTGTTAATGCCAAATTTTGACTGACTTAGGCAATACGTAACTTTTTGAACATAAGTACGAAAAGTTACGTGTGCTTAGCGAAGTTTCGTTAATCTCTGCCCTGGGTAAGATGTACAGGGTGCGTAATTATGCTGTAAGTGATAGTTAACCCTTTAACGACCAGGTGAACCATACGGTCGCATTTCAAAGATGCTTTGTAATATTATTGTCCTGATAAGGAATTGGCGCTAGTTGTTTTGAACGTTGTCAGTAAGTGTCCCTGCTTCGTTTCGGTGGTGCAACTCCACTATTTGCGGCTAACCACGCAGTACAGCGCTGATTTTGTTGGGAATCCGTGGTGCCATTCATTTGCTGAACTTCCCCAATCTTTATTGGACTATGGTGGGAAAATCTGATAAGTTACAGCATTATAAAAATTCTACATCGCATTTCTGCATCGTATTCTAACACAATTGACGTGGTGCCTCTTGTATTGTCCTTATAATCCCCAACGAAAGTTTGAGTAGAGATAACCCACCAAATGGCAACCTCTGCAGTGCAGTGACACATAGCCAAGTGCAGCCCTTGTATCTAGGGTATCTTCGACAGCGATTAATGACAGTTTCTCTTGCAGGGTATTTTTGAAGACAAACAAGATGCTGCATAGAACGCTGAGGCTGCTGTGCATTGCTGCTGTTGTGTTCAGCAGCATTGAAGCTAAAGGCAAAAAGGAAGATTTTGGCACAGTGATTGGAATCGATTTGGGAACCACATACTCATGGTGAGAGCTTCATATTCTCTACACTTGAATGAATACTAGCTTGTCTCCATGGGCTAGCTTACAGAGACAGATTTTTATATGAAATGTAAAATAAATTTTATCTAGTGTCAGAGCATTATCAAATACTTTGATTTTTATCCTTTAATTATGGATCATTGTTTAAGTACTTGAAACTAGAGTGAATTGTAGCTAATTCATGCAGATGTTCAATAATTAAGATGCAAATAACTACTGCTAATTTATTTGTGAATTCATGAGTTTACACATGTGTGATTGTAAAATAGATAATATTGGGTTGTAATATTGAGTTTGGTGACTAGAAGATTGAAAGGCCTTCATCTAATGAAAAATGTAACTCGAATTTTTCAAGTGGCTGTTACTAGTAGCTCTTTTTGAGATGTTGAATTTTCAATTTGTAACTGGGTTGTAAATGAGAATTGATGATTTTTGTTGGATACTTAGGATGGCTGTGTATTATGCACTTGTTTTTAAATGTTTGCATTGAACATCTGCCAATTTCAACATTGTATGTATATTGTATTACATTGTATGTATGTAATTACATTAATCGAGTAATTCTTCAATAACGGAATACATTTTCAATTTTAGGAAAGGCTCAAAACTTGCCATCCGTTACGTAATTACTATTAGGTATATCAGTATATGTACATGTGAAATTAAAGAAAGAAATTTGCACATATATACTTCTCATCTGCCGGTAGTAAGAATATTTATTTAATTTATTTATGCTAGCTTGGGAAACAGGATTATGTGGCTAAAAACGTGTTCTGAACCTTCAAAAATATTGTGGCATGTAAGGTTATTGGCCAAACTGGAAAGTCATCTTGTACTCTAGCAAAATTGACGATAGGGAAAAAACTCGTTATTTGACTGCGCAACTGAGATGCGTTGTAAAAGGAATAGTAAGAACCTCGGCTGAAATAGCCCGTATTTGTTCCTGGTTTATAGATGAGTATTTTAGCACCTAATGTGTTCTTTACTTCTCGATTTGAAATTTTGAGTTATTAATCCAATTTTATTTTACAGTGTTGGTATTTTCAAGAATGGGCGTGTTGAGATCATCGCGAATGACCACGGTAATCGCATTACTCCTTCATATGTGGCCTTCACGCAAGACGGTGAACGTCTCATAGGAGATGCTGCCATGAATCATCTGACAACTAACCCTGAAAACACAGTATTTGATGCCAAGAGACTTATTGGCAGAAAATGGAACGACAAAACCGTGCAAAACGACATCAAGCTCTTCCCATTCAAGGTTATTAAGAAGAGCAACAAACCTCACATCAAGGTGGCCACTTCTCAAGGCGACAGAGTGTTTGCTGCAGAAGAAATCAGTGCCATGGTTCTGGGCAAGATGAAGGAAGTTGCAGAGGCCTACTTGGGCAAGGAAGTGACGCACGCTGTCGTCACCGTGCCTGCGTATTTCAATGACGCTCAGCGACAGGCGACCAAGGATGCTGGTGTTATTGCTGGTCTCACTGTCATGAGGATCATCGACGAGCCCACCGCTGCTGCCATCGCTTATGGCATTGACAAGAAAGATAGCGAGGAGAACATCGTTGTCTTCAGTCTTGGTGGCGGCACCTTCGATGTGTCTCTCCTTACCATTGATTCAGGTGTTTTCGAAGTTAAGGCCACGAATGGTGATGACCATTTGGGTGGTGAAGATTTCGACCAGAGAGTCATGGGACACTTCATTAAGCTGTACAAGAAGCATGGCAAGGACATCAGAAAGGATAACAGAGCTGTCCAAAAGCTCCGACGTGAAGTAGAAAAGGCCAAGCGTGCACTTTCTGCCAGCCATCAAGTGAGGCTTGAAATTGAATCTTTCTTCGAGGGTGAAGATTTCTCCGAAACGCTCACTCGTGCTAAGTTCGAAGAACTCAACATGGATCTATTCAAATCTACCTTAAAGCCTGTGCAAAAGGTCCTTGAAGATTCCGAGCTGCAGAAGAAGGATATTCACGAAATTGTGCTCGTTGGTGGCTCCACACGTATTCCCAAGGTCCAACAGCTAGTCAAGGAGTTCTTCAATGGTAAGGAGCCTTCTCGAGGTATTAACCCCGAAGAAGCTGTTGCCTACGGTGCCGCTGTGCAGGCCGGAGTTCTGTCTGGCGAGGACGATACAGCGACCTGGTTCTTCTGGACGTCACTCCTCATACTCTGGGTATTGAAACAGTCGGTGGGGTCATGACGAAGCTCATCAACAGAAATACTGTTATTCCCACCAAGAAGTCACAGATCTTCTCGACCGCTTCTGATAACCAGCACACTGTCACCATCCAAGTTTTCGAAGGCGAGAGGCCCATGACCAAGGACAATCACGTTCTTGGCAAATTCGATTTGACTGGTATTCCTCCCGCACCGCGTGGCGTGCCCCAGATTGAAGTCACATTTGAGATTGATGCTAACGGCATTCTGCAGGTATCAGCTGAAGATAAAGGCACTGGCAACAAGGAAAAGATCACCATCACCAACGACCAGAACAGACTGACACCCGAGGATATCGAGAAAATGATAAAGGATGCTGAAATGTTTGCTGATGAAGATAAGAAGTTGAAGGAGCGAGTGGATGCTCGGAATGAGTTGGAGTCTTACGCATATAGCTTGAAGAATCAGCTCAACGATAAGGAAAAACTCGGCGCTAAGGTTACGGGCGACGAAAAGGAAAAGATGGAAGGGGCCATTGATGAAGCGATTAAATGGCTGGAAGATCACCCCGAAGCCGAGGCCGAAGAATTCCAAGCTCAGAAGAAGGAATTGGAGGACGTAGTTCAGCCCATTATTGCCAAGCTATACCAGAGCACGCCACCTCCTGCTGGAGACGCCGGGGGGTCAGAGGACGAGGATTTCAAGGATGAATTGTAAGGATTATAGTCTTGTATAGTTATTTGAATGTTGTTACGTAACTTGAGCAAAGTTCATAGGGTAATTTTCTTTCGAATGCATGTTGAGACCACATGTGACGAGTGCGCTGGGTGATGTGCGTGTACATACTCCGATGTCAAAGTAGAGATTCTATGAGTCACTCACGGTTGCTCTTCATCGTACGGAATGTATTTATTTATAGCTAGACATGTAGGAGCATCGAAAGTTTTGTATTAGAGGGCATTTCATCATGCTTCATCTTCCATTATCTCATCAACTTCATATGGATTGTGACTCGTGCGTGAATGTTTTGTATTAAATTTGTTGAGAAGAAAGCATCTTATTTTACCTCCTGAAACGTGCAGCTCGCACATCCTCTAAGCATTGTAATTCAACGCTATTATTGCTATGTATGCGAGTAAATTTATAGAAGTATTCCCAAAAATTTAACACTTAAAACTATGTATTCTCCCGGACTGCTTAGTGCTGACGTTACTGGAAAGCGGCCGATAGATGATCGCTAACGTGATTTATCTAGTCTATTTATTTTGAAAGAGGTCTGAAGCTGGAAGGAAGAGGAAGCCGTTGAAGTAATTTTTAGCCACGTAATGTATCTCGCAGGCAGCCAATCTTTGGATTAGCGTTCACAATGCGGTTGACTGAAGAGTTAATTGCATCCCGCTATTGGTTTGGATAATACAGGACTAATGCTGCAATGGAAATACAGCGCCACCTCAGTTAAGTGAAAGCGACGAGCGCTTGTTTTATAATTAAGGTATTTGAGTAGTTTGGGATATGCGTTGTATTGGTTTGAAAGATTTCCGCAGCGTTTGAAAGATCGAAATTGAGCTCATAAAAATTTATATAGTTAGAACAATGATTCTTCGGAAGCCAATAAGTATAGATGAACTCGTAGCCTTGTTGTAGAAAAACATATATCGTGTTCTTCAATCAAATCTTTTGCATACTAGTCAAACGCATACTACTAGAAAAGATCCATTCCGGCATAACCGAATAGAGTAAAATCGAATGCCAGCACACAATACAAAATCTTGTACTCCTGTGCTGAGATGGTGTTGATATGTAGTGATCCAAGAGATTATTAGGTGTAAAACTGTATTTTGTTAAATATTTTAATGCCGTAAATATGCACTGTTCTTGTGAACCCTGGCCGATGGCCACATCAAATGGAATAAATTAGAAGAAAAATAATTAACATTGTAAGCCAGTTAATCATGACCAGTCCATATCTATAAAATGTTCCGATAATTTTACAATAGTTTTAAGCCCCGGTAATAATAAATAACATTATTCTGTAAATCATATAATAAGAGTAAGCTCAAAGCTTTCCCCCGCAACTTCTGACAACATCGTCGATCGAGCTCGGGAACCGTTAGAGATTCCATTCAATATTAAGGCGTTCTACTGATCAGTTGTTGGTGCTTGTGCTCTAGGTAACTTTCAAGTAGCCACTGGGTGAGTAAAATAAGATTAACCATTTAGACTTTGTTCACTAATGCCAATGCATTGTTTATCTTTTGGTACTATATCAGAGAGAGGAAACATGTCCATCAATTCTAGCCTTGGAAGCTAATCTAAAAACCACCGATCTTGCATAGCCTCATAGTTGGAAGGAAGAAAGTTGAAGTCTAAAGTCACATGATTCAAATGTTGTTATTGATTATAATTGATGGTAGTAATTATTTATGACGAGTTTTGATTCTCTAATGTACTCGAGATTGATCCCGTAGTTAATTATTTTCAAATTGATTCTCATAAGGGATTATTGTTAACTTTCAAATTGAGTATTAATTTCCAATTGATTAATTGTAGTTAATTCTTTTCAAATTGATTTTCAAAAGTGATTATTGTTGTTAACTTTCAAATTGAGTATTAATTTCCACATTGATTAATTGTAGTTAATTTTTTTCAAATTGATTCTCATGAGTGATACTAGACCCCGTAAGCCGTCTGACGTCGACATAAGTAGGATTTACAACATGATATAACATTTTATTATAACAATGAATACTGTTCCCATAGTGTCAACATTGGCCGAGATATTAATTCCTGTATTATTACTAGGTTAGAGATGAAGCATTAGCCATTAGTACAAAATAAACCGTGAATAAAATCATATAAAATGGTGTTTTGATGACAAGTTAGGAGCAAATATAGTGTTGAGGTTTGAGAGAGTTGAATTACTTGAAATTGACTTGATAAGTTAAAAGGAGAATTTAGATTGAACTGTAATTTAGACCGTGTTTTGGGATTTGACATAAATGGTGATTATAAAACTATTAATTGTATTTGGATGTTAAATTGAATTGTGTTTTGAATTGATATTTAATTGTATTTTGGATATTTAACTTAATTCGAACCTTTTGATGAACCTAATAATATGTCATTTGAAATGGGCTTGAATGTAAATGAACAGTTTGAATACCGCCTTAATTGGATTCATGCGCTGGAATTTGAACAGTGTAGATCTTTCTACTTTGAAGATGTTGAAAAATTAACTCCATGTCATGTTCTAATGCTCAACCCTTGTTCGCAGGCCTTTCTCCCTTTATCTTGTATTCACGAACACCTAATAAACTACCCGAACTCGTCCACTACCTATTACCCTTCATGTAGGGAAGAGTTACCAAAGACCTTCGGTTGCACACGTAACTCTAGCGCCAAACCATCGATAACCCTAACTCACTGCGTTATTCCAACCCATCCTCGGTACCTACCGCAGATATAACCAATGGCGACGGATTTAAGTTTTGATAAATTCCGTTAAAAGTTTTTAGTTCCTTGAGGCTGATCCTTAATTTTCGCACAAACTTTAGAACCCGATTCTACGTTTTTTTTTGTTTTCATCATCCGTCTCGTCCAAATTTGTCGAATTACTTTTTAGAGGAGGAACCATTACGAAGAGATCACTTTCTGTTTCTGGAACGTTTTCTTTGAAATTATTGCCGAAGACTGCGTTCTGACCGATGCGCTTCGACAGAATGGCACAGTCCCCGCAGAGCGTGTCAATCTGGAAAAAGCAGGGCTTAACGTAAGTTAGTTTTGCATTCTTTATCAATCCGCAACTTTCATCTCGGACAAAAGAATTCACTATCCCACAACACAATAGTTAATTCAATGAACCGTCATATGCTAAAGCTGAATAGTGTATGTTCCGAGAAGGAAGCAGTAATATCGAATGATTAATGGTAGCGTCCACAAGAATAGTATCCCGGGATTTATTTAGTTATATATCAAATATAACGTGTTTTTCAGCCAGTCGGCGATTTTGAAAATTTACGCTTTCCCTTTACCACGTTTTACTGATCTCCCACAGAGTCCTCCACATTCTAGAAGTGGGCTACGGCCCTAGGATACGAGACAAGATTTCAATCAGTGTTCTGTTAGAGTGACAGTGGTTCCTAACGTTATAATATTCGTTTTTCCTGCTAGCGTTTAGGAGCGTGGCGAGTGTTACAGGCCCGCTGATAATAGCTGGCTAGGGTGGAAAGACCTGGCCCGTGTTAGCTGAAGCTGCCACACTCGTCGACGTCATTCTTACGTCACTGCTGCGCTGACTGACCAATACTCCACCGTTTCCTTTTGATTGCTTAACTCTTCCTACCATAAACTTGAGGTTTATGCTCCAGCGAAGAGACAGTGAATGCGCCAACTATTCCTCACATAACTTTGTGCTATTATGTGTCAGTGAAGAGGTGGTCTGCCAAGTGCTCCCATACCCATAGAAGAGGAAAACCTATTACGTGAAGGAAGTGGTTGACCTTATCGCCTCAGGGCTGCTACATTGCTTCAATTTCCTCAAACATGTCATCTGAATAAGACTCCTGCTGCCCAAGCGTGTTAAGTGCTAGGGTGGAAAGACCTGGCCCGTGTTAGCTGAAGCTGCCACACTCGTCGACGTCATTCTTACGTCACTGCTGCGTTGACTGACCAGTACTCCACTATTTCCTTTTGATTGGCTAAACTCTTCCTATCATAAACTTGAGGTTTATGCTCCAGCGAAGAGGCAGTGAATGCGGCAACTATTCCTCACATAATTTCGTGGATTCATGTGTCAGTGAAGAGGTGGTGTGCCAAGTGCTCCCATACCCATAGAAGAGGAAAACCTATTACGTGAAGGAAGTGGTTGACCTAATCGCCTCAGGGCTGCTACATTGAATTAGCCTTCCTGAAGCGTGATTTGCTACGATAACTTCAAAGAGGGGATTAATCAAGAGCGCAAAGTATTAATTTTATTTTATATTATGAGCTGCAGCAACTTATTTTATTTTTTTCTTCGTAGTAGTCATCGAATGGACATCAAGAGCAACCATGATTTTCTTGAACGAAGCCTTTTGTTGGACACGTGATCTCTTTGAGAGGGCAATCTTCAGTGGCCAGCCAGCCCCCCTGATCTTGCGCGTTGCAATTATATCATGTGGGGCATCTGAAGTCCATCGTGCACCATCACAGACCCAACAACCTGAACCATCTCAAGAATAACACTCGTGACGCCGTCGCCAACACTCCCATTGAGATGCTGGAATGAGTCGACACCAATATCCGGACACGGCTGACACGATGTATTGACAATAACGGGCGTCAATTGCATGATGCCATCTTTAAAATTGGCAAATAGTAAAATTTTCTTGTTTTCTGATTATGCTTTTACAAATATCATTTGTATATATTCAATACTTTTATTACAATATTTGCTTCAAATAAGCAAGTTTCCCACTGGACGATATCAAGAACCTTGTATTATTTAGGACCTTGGTCCAGACGGTAAGAATATAGAACTTGTGTTTGATTCATTTTCCATCTTTGAGAAAATGCAATTATGTTAGCGGATATAAAATACAAATGCCATCACACGCTCGTATTATTTTATGTAAATTCTACGTGCAAATAATAAGTACGACAAAACTCAAAAATCTTATTTGAGTTTCGAAATCATTTTGTCCGACTTTGGGCTTTTCCTGAAGCAAAAATATTATGCAACATCGAGACGTCGAGATCATTTGCGTAGTGTTGATAAGAAAAAAACTGCCCCACACGTGTGGACATTTTTTGTTTTATTCCAACCGATTATCAAGGAGCTGGCGATGAAATTACATCGAAAAAAAGAAAAAGCATTTCAAAACGCCGTAAAATATTTTTTTTGACAATTTACAATCAATAATATTGGGACGGCAACTTTTAAGAAATATTCTAATATATCAATAATATTGAAAATATTAGTTGAAAAAATTACGACATGCAACCCACTGAATCGTATGAATTTTATTAACTGTTATTTTCACGTACATGGAATTGTTTAAACTGTACACGTGAC